TTCTCTGCTCTTCTGTATAAGGTAGCACAGACACAAACTGCACCCCTGGTGGATTTTTGTCTGGACAGACTAGCTCAACATAAGCCTAGGATCAGCCTAACATTGAGCTCAGCTGTGATTCAGGGTTCCAGGCACCCCATGAAGTCTGTACAGAGGATGAGACAGCAGGTCTTGTACTTTCGAATGCCCAGGACTGTGGTTTTCTATAGTCCCTGCACATAATTGTGAAGCACCTGCTCAGTCTTCCAACCCTCGCTAGCAGGTGCCCAAGCTGCCAGTCTTAAAGGAAAAGTAAACTCCACCTCCTTTTGAATCTTTAACCCAAATCCCACTGCATACATTTTTCAATTTTTAGTTTTGAATTAACATACATTTGTAATCTAAGGAGGTTTCATTGTGGTATGTACATAGATGCACAGTACACTTTGAACAAATTCATTCCCTCTGCTCTATTCACATTCCTCTCTTCACCATTTTTAAATAACATATTGGTAGATTTTATTATGCATACATATTACATATGTATATCCTTTTCACCCCTCAGTATCCACTTCTTTTCCCTCTCCATTCTCCTGTGGAGTCCCTCCTAGACAATATAACTTTTTTACATTCATGCTCTGTTACCATTACTTTTATCATCATAATCATCATGATCATCATGTTCACCTTCTCCAATTTCATCCATTTTTCTGCTACTACATACATTTACCCAATGCCTCATGAGCATACTGCTGGGCCATAATAAACCACCATGTGGTTGTTGTGAATTTCAAGGGAAAGGAAAATGTAAGAACTTATACTCCTCCCAAACAGAAACTAAACAAGATGGCTCCCTTTAGAGCATCCCAAATCTATGTAGCATGTACTTAAACTGCACTTACTGAAAAGCACTGACTTCTTACTTGGACCCATAATTAACTAAAAGCAGGAGAGAAGGTTGGCATCAGTGTCAGCCTTGTACATGTTTTTGCTCTAAGCCATTCTATTCTCTCTGCACTCACTTTACAATTACCTTGGGTTCCAGGAAAGAGAGGAGTGATCACCAATTGATAATGTCTTTATCATCAGGGATCAATCTATCCCTAAGGAATAGCAGAGCCTTGCAGAACTAACTGCCTGCTTGCCTTCCTCTTGAAATGAGGACAATTACTTATAATGATGAGTATGAACCCTTGAGCAGGAGTCATTTCATGGGAAACAGTTTGCTCCTTTTGAGTGATAATAACAGTAACAAGCTGTCTGGAACCCCTGGAATACAAGGACTGAAACTATACTCAACCAGATCTCACTGGACCGATCCTGAAATGATGAGCTGCCAGACTATTTGCCACTTCTGACTACTGGAACACACCACATCTCTCTCTCCCCCACTGTTTCCAGTTCTTTATCTATGTAAACCTAAAGCTTATGTCTGTATCCTGAATATGACTCAAGATGGGCTAAAGTGCTTACATTGCCTCTTCCCATTGCTTTCTGTGCCACATAATCATTCTCCTTTCTTTGTTCTTTGCCACTGCCATCCCTTTATTAGCAAATAGGGGTGAGTGATAGGACATGTGGAAATCTAGGAGTTTGGGCCTGGAGCCTACAACCCTGGCTCCAATCATTATCTGAAAAATGCAGAGCGTTTCTCAAGAGTCAATCTGCTCACCCAGGTCAGCTAAATTCATTCTGCTTTTCTGTCTTGCATATGTTTCTTCACCAGCATACTCAGTAAGACTTTGTCTCTACTGCCCTGCCCCTTTACTGTGCTGCCAGGCTGCCCTGGGCTCAGCTCTGATTTGCTCTTCCCCACCCTCTGCCTTGATGACCAGAGTTTCTAAGCCAATGCGGAATATTGAACTTAGTGCATTCCGATAGTCATTTGCCTTGCTTAAAAGCTGTTTTTTGGTTATTTGGCTTTAAACAGCTTGGAAGTAATAAGGTGCTGTTTGCTTCTAAAATGATCCTCCTGGACATCCTCTACTATGGGGCCTAATTTGCAAAGGGCCCTCTGTGATATTGAGCAGGGGTGAAGGAGGCAGGCAGACAGTTAAAGAGGCAGGGACGTAAGTGTAAGATCATTGTGAATCCAACTAAAGTCAAGAAAAATAGTACAAAATAGAAGAATCAAAATATGTTTTGAAGATAGAGTCAGACTGAGGGATTAGATATGGCGGTATGAGAGAAAGAAGAGATCATGGATGTCTCTCCCCTTTACTCTTAGGAAGGACAAGGTATCCTTACCTAAACGAAGGAGGAAAAATAGATTTGAGGGTGAGGGAGATCTAAAGTTCAGTCTTGGACCATTTTAAATTTGAGGTGCTGTTGAACACCTGAGTCAAGATGGCAAGAAAGTGCCAACTGTATTTTGGGGGTTTAGAGGATATGACCAGCCTAAAGAAATATATTTGGGAGTCACCAGCATATCGGTGGTATTTTCAAGATTATAAATTATGGAATTGTTGGGAGAATAAGAATATACAGAGAAAGGAGTGTGGACAGACTATTTTAAGGTGGGGGACAGGAGGAAAAATTAGCAAAGGAGCAGACTTTGGAATGTGAAGGGAACAGAGGATTTTATTGAGAAGAGAGTAGACTGATATGTTAGTTACACTGAGAACTTCAAGGAAGATAAGGACTAAGAGTATGATAATGACCTAGACCACCAAGCCCTTGGTAAGTCTTCTCCATTGGAGCAATTGTGAGTTTATTTCAGCATGTTTCAGTGAGACTAGAGAATAGGAACTGAAGAATCTGTGTTTAGGTTACTAGAAGAACTTTGCTAAAGGATTTCAGAAAAATACAGTGGTAGCTAGAAAGGGAATTAAAAATAAAAGAAGTTTTAGCCATTCATTTTTATTGTTTTACTTTGCTTTTGGGTATATAAGAGCACATTTTTTTTTTACTCACAAGGAAAATCAACTTGATAGGAAAAACTGGTGATTGTAGAAACAAGTGTGGAATTGTTTTTCTAAGCAGAAAAAGGGAGTGGGAGAAGAGCTGGAAACATTGACCATGTAGAGAGGCAAGAGGACAAACAGATATACAAATACCCACAGATGATCAGAGAAGATATTGGAAGCTTACATAAGTTTGTTTCTAATTGCTTCATTTTTCTCAGTGGAATAGGAAGTACTCATCAGCTAAGGGTAAGATAAAGTTTGAGAAGATAAAATAAGAAAAGAAGTAATGAAAATGAGAGTAAAAATATACTTAGGAAACTGGGGTGGGATTGCTGAGCAGCCTGGACCACAAGAACACTTTAAGCTAAAGATCAAGTATCTAAAAGAACTACAGACAGCTTGGTCTTTCTTCAACCATACTTAGCTATACAGGCACAGCCCAAAGTGAGTTGAGAGCAGGCTTTAGCCAGGGTTTGTCAACGAAGTGGGACTTCAGAGATGAAAATGTATTCAGAGCATGCCAAAATGTTCAAGCATGGGGTTCACATTGTATAAGAAAGAAGAGATGAGACCATGAAGGGGTTAAAGAAAACAAAAATGCAAATACAGTAAATCCCAGAACCTGAGGAACTTGCAGGAGCCATTTGAGCCAATCATCCAGGATATAATCAGTTAGTCAGACAGTAAGATGCTTAAAAACTGAGAATACGAAGTTGCAGAATTATCATAGGGTGTAGGAAATGAAGATGATAATGTCTCTGAGATCACATTTCTGATAGATCAAGGATCTTAATGAACAGCTGTTGCTTCTGAGACAAGTTGTCCAAAGGTTGTTTTAGGGTCATGAATGTTAGAAGTTGGCTAGGTAAACATATAAGTTTAATCCAGAAAGCACGAAGTGGCTGAAACAGTAAGAATACCACAGGAAAACAGAAGAATGTGTTTTGAGTGTGCTGGGCACGGAATTGACTATTTCTGTGCAGCCTTTTACTTATTCCTGGCATCAGTACTGAGGACTAGAGACTATTAGCATTTCCGTATTACAAACAGTGAACCCAAGGGGTAGAGAGATTAAATAGCATGCCCAAGACCATGTCCAGACTTCAAGCTCTTATACATTATGTCCATCAGTCTTGGCAGATGCAGTGGTTATGACAGAACAAGTAATAATAACAACTACATTCTGAAGTGTGATTAGTAGATTTATGGGATTAGAGGTTTCTTGAGAAGAGTACTGTATACAAAGCCCAGTAAATACATGATCTCATGTAATCCTCATATTAATCCTGAGTATTAAGTAATTTTCCAGAATCAAGGGCGAGTAATTAGCAGAGCCTGGATGTGAAAGTGTGTCCTGTGACCTCCTGCATGTATGCTGCTTTCACTAACTATCAGGAACCAGTACTTTCAGAGATGGATCAGACAAAAAACCCATCAGCAGTTACTTTTTTTCAGAATTTAACAGGAAAAAGTCTAATAATTCCTATGTTTCCATGGGAACATTTATTAGCACAGAATGTAGCATTCTTCCTCTTCTGGAGTGTTCTTGCTGCAAACTTGTTCATTCACTCACTAATATTGAGCAAATAGTCCGTGCAGGTACCCCATGTTGGGTGCAGAGGACACAACCCGAAGAGAAATGTTCTGGTTCTAAGAGAAGCTTCAGTGTGCTGCAGATCTTCAGCATTTCAAATACCCTGGCCTTTTCCACACCATTTCATTTGGCCTAGAATATACTTATCTCTGAGGACCTAGTTACCTAAGAGATTATTCTCCCTGATGTTTTGGCACTAAGCACAACCAGCCATAGAGCCCTGGAGATGGGATCTTAGACTGGACTCTAGGGAGTTTTCAAAAAAGAAACTAGGGTATTTAAAAAAAATAGAACTAAGGTGTTTTCTAAAAGGGAATTTCCTACTCCAAAAGGGCCCAATCTTAAAGCTGGATTTAAAAGTATACCCTTTGGGTGGTATTTCAAGTGGTTTGGTGCTTTTGAATGGCTCCTGGTCCTTGGCTCTAACTTTTGCTAGAAAGACTGCATTAGCACGTGTAATTGTTTATAGCCTCTGTATTTCAACACCCTCTTTCCAGGCAAAGACCCATTAGCTTAGGAACATGAACATCACATCAGTCTTCGAGAATGAAAGACAATGTATCCACAGGGTGAGGAAAACTATACTTGTGCAGATTGGTGTGAACAACTGATGTAGCCAAGTGCCTGTGGCTCACACCCATAATCCTACCTATTCAGTAGGCTGAGATCTGAGTATCTCAGTTCAAACCTAGCCTGGGTAGGAAAGTCAGTGAGCCTCTTATTTCCAATTAACCAGAAAACTGAAAGTGGAGCTGTGGCTCAAATGGTAGAGCTCTTAACGTGAGCACAAAAGCTCAAGAACAGCACCCAGACCCTGAGTAAAAGCCCCAGAGCAGGCACCAAAACAAAAACCAAAAACAAGGACCCCCCCCAAAAAAAACCCAACAACACAAAACCCCACAACTTGATGAGTGTTCCTTGGTCTTTTTTACTTCTACATAATTCTACTAGTGGAGAACAGCGGCCTATGCAGGTCCCAATTTTTCTGGCACTTACTATGGTTTCTATCTAGATCTGTGAAGACTCCATCCCTCTGGTTTAAAAATCTGTGAGTCAGTGTAATTTAAGGATTACAGAAACTCAAGTTTTCTTAAAGAAAAAAAATAGAAAACTCTTATGTTTAACTGGAGTTTTAAGAGTTTTTCAGCTCAGTGCTGGTGGCTGACACCCATAATCCCAGCTCATCAGGAGGCTGAGATCTGAGAAGCCAGACTGGGCAGGAGACTTTTACCTCCAACTAACCACTCAAAAGCCAGAAGTGAAGCTGTGGCTCAAGTGGCAGAGTGCTATGCTTGGGAGAAAAAACTCAAGGACAGCAATCCATGCCCTAAGTTCAAAGCCCCAGACTCAGCATTTAAAATAAAAAACAACAACAATCTCTTAAAACTGCAACTTGCAATATACTATTCTTTTATTTAATTTGTTAAATCTTTGAGATCACAGATTAAATTTATTCCAGTCATTTCTGGAGTTGTCAGACCGCACAGCTAATCTGCATCCTTACAGCTTTAAGGGAAAGCATTTCTAGTTTCAGAGTAAAGAAGGTGGCGCCAACTGGAAGCTCCACCACTCTCGCCTGCGGGCGGCCGGGGGTGGAGCTGGTACTTGGTTTCCCGCGGCTGCCAGCCGCGCCCCTCCGCTCCACTGTGCCGCGAGCAGCCACCAGGGGTGCTGCGCTTCGTACCTGCAGGGGCGGTGTTGGGGGGGAGGCGGGGGGGGGGGAGATCGGCTCAGCCACTCCGCGCGCCTGGCTGGTTTTCCTCCAGGCTTGGCCGCTTCTTGGTGCCCACAGCGCGCAGGAGGTCACAAACGGGGTGCCATGGGTCTGAGCTGAGCAGGGCTCCAGGGCTTCTCCACCTCTGGGGCCAGGATGCCTCTGCCTGCGGGAGCATCTGGGCTAGCCACACTTTTCCCCAGGGGCACGCGATCAGGGTACCCAGCATCTCTGGACCCCAAGCTCCCCAAGGTCCTTTTCCTTCCCATGACCACCAAAGCCCGGCACGCCCACTACCACGACCACTATTTGGGAATCTAGCTTCCGGAGTTGGCCGCGTTCTTTCCACCCTCGCGGGCGCCAGCGACATACCTAACCGCACCTCACACCGGGTGCAGGTAGCGCGGCCCCGAACTCGATACAAAGAGGCCCGCGCCTCCCAGGCCTCGGCCGCTGCCACGCCCGCGCGTGCTCGTGCCCACATCTCCGGGTCCTCCACGGTGGCTGGACGCGGGGAACCCCTCACTCGGCACGCTCATTCCCCTTCCCTAGTATCTGTCAACGCACACAGCGATCTCCAAAACCCCGCGATCGGGGCCCTTCCATCTTCTCCCTCCAGTCCCTCGGCCGCTGCTCGGGCGTCCGGGACCAGCCAGATCCACTCGCGTTCTCATCGGTCCCGGCCCCTCCTTTCTTCGGGTCCTCCTCCTCCTCCTCGCCCCTCCCGAGCCGGGGTGGGAGCGGCGGCAGCTGGAAGGGAAGGGATGAGGTCATCCTCTCCCTCGGAGTCAGCTGGTGGAGGCGAGGAAGCGGGAGGAGGGAGCGCGCGCGAGGGGAGGAGAGGAATGTGCAGGTCCGAGGAGCGCCGCGGCGGCCGCTGCTGCTCCTGCTGTTGGCGGCGGCTGCGGCTCGGGCGGCAGCCGCGAGGCCAGGACGGCTGCGAGGAGCGGCGGG